TGATCCACCCGCCTTGGCCTCCCAAAGTGTTGGAATTACACGCATGAGCCACCGCGCCGGGCCTGCCTGGTTAATTCATTTATTTATTTATTTTTTGAGATGAAGTCTTGCTTTGTCGCCAGACTGGAGTGCAGTGGCATGATCTCGGCTCACTGCAATCTCTGCCTCCGGGTTCAAGTGATTCTTGTGCCTCAGTCTCCTGAGCAGCTGGGATTACAGGCACACACCATCACACCCAGCTAATTTTTGTATTTTTTTTGTTTTTGAGACGCAGTCTCGCTGTGTCACCCAGACTGGAGTGCAGTGGTGCGATCTCGGCTCACTGCAACCTCCGCCTCCCGGGTTCAAGCAATTCTCCTGCCTCAGGCTCCCAAGTAAATGGGACTACAGCACACAGCACCATGCCTGACTAACTTTTTTTTTGTATTTTTAGTAGAGATGGGGTTTCACCGTGTTGCCCAGGTTGGTCTCAAACTCCTAAACTCAGTCAATCCGCCCGCCTCCGCCTCCCAAAGTGCTGGGATTGTAGGCGTGAGCCACCGAGCCTGGCCAATTTTTGTATTTTCAGTAGAGGGGGGGTTTCACCATGTTAGCCAGGATAGTCTCGATCTTCTGACCTTGTGATCTGCCCGCCTCGGCCTCCCAAAGTGCTGGGATTACAGGTGTGAGCCACTGCGCCCGGCCTGACCTTGTCTCTTAAATAAATAGTCAGACTGTCCTGAATTCAGTTCTATACTTTGGTGCATACCAGCTATGTGATTTGGTTTTCTTTTGTTTGTTTGTTTTGTTTTGTTTTTACAAGGTTTCACTTTGTCGCCCAGGCTGGAGTGCGGTTGCGTGAACAAGGCTAACCACAGCCTCAACCTTCTGGGCTCAGGCAATTCTCCTGCCTCACCCATCCAAGTAGCTGGGACTACAGGTGCACTCCACCCATACCCAGCTAATTTTTGTATTTTTTGTAGAGGTGGTGTTTTCCCATCTTGCCCAGGCTCATCTTTTTATTGGTGATAGCTTTATAGGGTGATGTTAAGAAAAATTTGACATTTTTCAGTATAAATCTCTTCGGTTGTCATATTCTCTTACTTATGTCTCTTAGTGACTCTTTCAAAGATAGAATGCTCAGAGTCTCACAGACACCCCCTGGTTAGGTACAGTCTATCGGGTTTTTTTGAGACTCTGTCTCAAAAAAAAAACAAAGATAAAAGAAAAAACAAACATATTTATCTATATTTGCTAGATAATTTCTTTCTTTTTTTTTTTATTTGGAGACGGAGTCTCGCTCTGGCTGGAGTGCAGTGCAGTGGTGCGATCTTGGCTCACTGCAAGCTCCGCCTCCTGGGTTCACACCATTCTCCTGCCTTAGGCTCCCGTGTAGCTGGGACTACAGGCACCCACCGCTACACCTGGCTAATTTTTTTTTTTTGTATTTTTCAGTACTGATGGTGTTTCACCATGTTAGCCAGGATGGTCTTGATCTGCTGACCTTGTGATCCGCCTGCCTCAGCCTTCCAAAGTGCTGGGATTACAGGCATGAGCCACCGCGCCTGCCTGATTATTCCTTTTCCTGAGCCATATGAAAGTTAATTGTAGGCTGGACATGGTGGCTCACGCCTACAATTCCAGTGCTTTGGGAGGCCGAGGTGTGTGGATCACCTGAGGTCAGGAATTTAAGACCAGCCTGGCCAACATGGTGAAACCCCATCTCTACTGAAAATCCAAAAATTAGCCAGGCATGGTGGTGGGCATCTATAGTCCCAGCTACTCAGGAGGCTGAGGGAGGAGGATCCCCTGCACCCAGGAGATGGGGGTTGCAGTGAGCCAATATTGTGCCCCTACACTCCAGCCTGGGCAATAGAGCGCATTATGTCCCTTCACTGCTAAGTATCTCCGCGATCTTGCCAGAAACTGGACATTTTCTTATGTAACCACAATGCTTATATTACACTAACAAAATTATCAGTGATTCTCTAATAGCATATAATAGCAAGTCTACATTTAAATTTTTATAATTGTCCCTACAGTATTTTTTTAGTGATTATAATTCAGTCCAGGAACCTGCATTGCATTTAGTTTTTCTAAGTCTCTTTTAATGTCCAAAAGCCAACCTCTTTCTTTCCTCATACTGTTTAGCTTTTTAAGGAGGTAAGACTAGTTGTCTTTATAAGATGCTACATTCCGAGGCCGAGTGTGGTGTCTCACGCCTGTAATCCCAGAACTTTGGGAGGCCGAGGTGGGCGGATCACCTGAGGTCGGGAGTTC